TCCAGTCAAAGGTTGGAAAAAGGAAATACTTAAAAGGAAACCTCAAGAGAATTACCCGATTTGCCAAGGAAGTAACGAACACTGAAGGTCACTTTTCATGCATAACAACATTTCAGATAGAGTCTTTCATAATTTCAAAATGTCCAGGTATGAACTCTTCCATTTGAGTTAAGAGCAATTTTCGATTTCATCATGCTCAACAACTATGGGCCGGGGGTTCAAGTAGATCTAAACATTCTAATCAATAAAGAAACGATTTCTATCCCACTTCCGATTGGACTGCAAGAAAAAAGCAGATATTTAAAGAGCGATCAGCCGATACTCCCCTTATCCCTTTGCATTTTTCTAACTCCCCAAAGTCTAAATATTGTCTGCAAACGGATTTGATCTGATTGGAACAGACCTAAACCCCGTTATTGAGGAATCCATAATGTAGTTTTCTTTCCGAGGGATTTTAATTTCGTAACGGTGTGGGATTTCGCATTAGACAAGTGGTGATCTTTACACGAATGGCTTCAGTTGGATTTCGAAATAAAGATTACTTACTCACCCAAAAAATCTTCAAAGGCATAGTTCATCTCAAAATGTCTTTAATCACGCATTACGAAGTCAGTCGAATTAAATACGAGCCTCATCCATTTTTTTCTTATGATTTGAATTACATCGTCAGCACTTCCCACTTCTGTGTGCTTTCCACATAGAAGTGAAGGGTGTTTCGACATTTCGTTGTTGATCAGTAATTGAATTAATTACCTAGTCGCCAACAAAAATTAAATATTATCATTTGCCTTATGGAAGGATTATAATAATTGTAGTTGGGGTAGAAATTCGGATTCATCAGGTGACTTCTGACTAGTACTCAGGAGGTATGCACTTTGTCTGATAATCACTATTAATCTCTTTAGCTGATATATATATTCCACACAATCATCAATGTGCATCCCAATTTCAGATATTTCTTCTCTCATTCGTTCGCGTCTCTATGGCAACATAATTGCTCTTCTTAACAATATGGAGACATCAACACGAAGCCCCAATTTAATAGACAATTCAAGTCAGAGAAATGGCAGTAGAAGTCAAGCTTGACGAATTCGAGAATAATCGAGGCAATTATATATGCCATCTCATATTAATTTTAAACTCTGATGCTAATATTGTGGAATGAATGCATGATTTGAATGAATAAATATTTTGATTTATGAAATGTATTCAATTCAGCATTGATAATAAAATTTGAATTGAGAGCAAAATTATTATCTCGATATCGAGCATACAATCTTAGAATTCTCATTGGTTTATTCTACTCACATAAGGACTTTATGTGACTTCATGCTTTAAATTTACCCAGAACGTTATTTTCGGTAAGCTTTTGTCCAACATTCACCGTGGATAGAGTTGTTGTACCACGGAGTCCATCCGGTGATGAACTCTAATTTTTCTAATCACGTTGAAATAGTCAAAGTGATTGCACAACTGGACATTGGACTCATCACCTCCGGATCTGATGTGTATGTTTCGAGTCAATTGACTTTATTTAAATTGGAGATCACCTAGATGTGAGGCATTCAGGAACACTCTTTTCGTCGAGTGCAAGGAATGGGGAGTGATTGGATTGATTAATTTAGAGGTATTGGGTGATAGATTCACTCCCGCCTGTAGAGCGACGTATATTAAATTGAAATTTCAAATTTTTAAAAAGCAAATATTCACTAAAACTTGCAGTGGAAATGTCATTGCATGAATGGTTCGACAACATTTTCTCTAATGATGTGGACAATTAAATGAACCGGAGAAGTGTAATCAAACATTCTTTACCACAGAATTGGTTTCCATTGAAAAGTTCAAACACTGTTAATACTTTCCAATATTACGAATTAAAAAAATTGTTTGGTTATTCTTTCTTAAATGGGTTAACGCTCACTATGCTTCCTTTAATAGTGTCAAACCGTCTTTGCAACGCGGTGATTGGGAAAATAGGCAAATGGAGCACAGCCAAATTAAGAAAATAAATAACCTGAACCATGACAATCCGCGTCGATCACCAGAATAGGAATAAGATTGTTCACTGGCCAATGCTATCTCGACACTACGAAAAGAATTCGGTATGAAATGGAGAATTTTGATGGAGACTACGAGGCTACTGTTGCGTCAAGGAGGCAACATATTATACGTCATGATCTGGTTGTGCTTGCAAAGCCGATCTTCTCAGAAATCTTCTGCTGCAAACTGGGGCCAACATATCATTGACTTCGGATGCGTGTGGCCCTTCGTGAAAATGGCGCGATGTCCAAAAAGAGGTGCTTTGTTTGAAGTCAGGTGCACGAAAACTGTAGTAATATTATTAGAGGTAGTTCCGGATAATTGTTGCCGCGCCTTATGTATAGTTAATCAACTTGCAATACTGCACTTGTCTCGACGTGTGTTTGCCCTTCAAACTCTCCCTACCTTCTCTCCGGGATAACATCTCAAATCAAAGGGGTATTGTGGGGAAAGACACTTATCTCTGTTTCAGCATTATAAAAAGGCTAATAACTTTGTGGACGATGTGTAAACAATTATTGATAGTTTCCCAGATAAAGCGCGTTAACAGCTTGTAATAGTTTGCTTGAGTCCTTGTAAACCCCTTGTAAATTAGATTTTTTAAGTTCTAATTAATTGGTTAATTGTTAATCACATTTACTTTTTCCGGATGTGAATATCATATTTTTGAGGTTTTTATTCACTGTCGACGCTTTAAACCGGCCTATCCACTGCTCAACTTGTCAAGGTATCTGTGATTATTTTATTCATTTTATAGTCAGTGCTTCATTAATCATAGTCACACACACACACACACACACACACACACACATCTCAGAGGAAATTGGTATCGATTTCTATTGTTACGTTGCCAGTAAGACTGATAGTATTATTCTAAATTGATTAAACTTACTCTCTCAAATCATTTTGAAAATGATTTCACAAAAATTTTTTTATTTCAAATGGCAGGCTTTATGATATTTATCATTAGCCCTTAATCTTTGACTTCAGCTTGCCCCAAGGGTGGGGGGTACATTTATAGCAGTTAATTAATAGCAGTTCATTAGCTATCTTCTTGCTTCCCAGTATCTCTGGCTTTCCGTCGTTGTTTTAGAGCTGGAAACCGAATCCGGTGGGTCTTCTCCATTTCCTCATGTAGGTTACAGAGAGGGCATGTGGGTTGAGTGTATACTCCCAAACTGTGAAGATATTTTGCCAAGCAATCGTGCCCGGTACGTAGTCTAAACTCAGCAACCGCTTCGGTTCTTGACCAGTCGGCTATGTCGGAGAGTGCCACTGTCCACTGTTTCTCCTATGTTCGAGCTTTGAGTTCGTTGCACCTTGAGGTCTGGAATTCTCTCCTGATTAAGGCCTTCATTGTGTGGAAAGACATCGGCCGGTCCATGCATTACAAAATCGTTGTCCCCTTCTTAGCAAGTGTGTCAGCAATCTCATTGCCTTTAATGCCACAGTGACCAGGAATCCATTGTAGGGCCACTGTTTTGTTTTTCTCTCTCAGCAGCTCATAGAGTTTTCTACATTCCTTTATCTCAGCTGTTTTGGGTGGCTCTCTGTTTCCAATTGAGTTTATTGCTGACTGTGAGTCCGAAAGTATCACCGCTTTGGTGAATTTCGTATCCAGGCAACATAATTGGTATAGTGCTATCCTAATGGCCTTTATTTCTCTTTCAAAAGCGTATCTATTGTGTCCCTCTGCTGCGTAGGAAGAGAAGAGTTCGGAATAGACACCTCCGTGGCTGTAATGAGTGGCTGAATAAACATTTTGTAAGTGGTGTTTAGAGTTGAGCTTGCACAGCCCCATACGCTACCAGCAAGACGCTTCAGTACATTCTGTCTACTGGAGACTCGTTCTGCTATTTTAGCAATGTGACTTTTCCACGTTAGCTTTGCGTCAAAAGTCACTCCGAGATATGTGAACTCATTGGTTCTTTCTAGGGTAGTATACTTGTACATTAGAAGCGGGTTTATGCTGTGACGGGCCAGAGAAAATATTTGGAATGCAGCTTTCATGGTGTTGATAACCATTCCATTGTTGTCGGACCAGTTTGCCAGTAGTTTAAGCTCATCATTTAGGGCATTTTCTGTCCTTTCCTGAGCGTTTTTCTTAGGGGCAGAATACCACAGCACAAGATCATTTGTATAAAGTAAGCACTTGATGCCCGTGACTGTCTGTACTAATTCGGCTATGTCATTGATGAAGACGTTGAAAAGAGTGCAGCTTGTGACAGCTCCCTGTGGAAGGCCTGTTTGTAAAAGATTGGATTTTGATAGAGCATTTCCATATCTGACTTTACACGATCTTTGTCCAATGAATGCTTTAANGCCCGTGACTGTCTGTACCAATTCGGCTATGTCATTGATGAAGACATTGAAAAGAGTGCAGCTTGTGACAGCTCCCTGTGGAAGGCCTGTTTGTAAAAGATTGGATTTTGATAGAGCATTTCCATATCTGACTTTACACGATCTTTGTCCAATGAATGCTTTAATCCAATTTAGCTTGTTATGCTTAATAATAATCTTTGCCAATTTTAGAATTAGCTTCTCTTTCCATACTCAGTCATATGCTGATTTGAAATCGACGAAAACAGCCGTAAGGGTATTTCTTGCATCAAGGGCATCTTTGATGTGTTGGGAGAGAGTGGCTACTTGTTGGTTCGTTGATCTTTGTGGCCTAAAACCTGCTTGTTCACTCCTAAGAATATTGTTGGTCTCAAGGAACCAGGTCAGCCTCCTATTAATCATTCTTTCCATAAGTTTAGCCATCACGCTTGTGAGGGAGACAGGCCTATAGTTGTCAAAGTTTCCAACTTTCCATTGGTTAGGTACGAAACTGGTCTCCCAGATTTTGTTGAAAAGCGTCACCATAGTTTCCTTGGCTTTTGGTCTCATTCTAATTAGAAATTCCGGATGAATACCGTCTTCGCCAAGAGACTTTTTGCACTTGAGCTGTTTTATCGCAGCATTAAGTTCGCAAGGTCTGAGTGGTTCAGTAAGTACATTATTTGGTGTTGCTATGTCTTCCTTAATTTCACCAAACTATCTTACTTGTATCTTTAAATCTCTTGAAGATTTTCTGACAAAAGGATTTTTCTTTTGCTTGTGGGAATAGAACCTCGCAAAGTAGTTAGCTATTTCGGAATCGGTGGTAAGCAGTTTGTTGTTTAAGCGTATTGGTTCTTTCTTGGGTCTTTCTCTGTTGTTTTGGAGGTTACCCAGGAATTTGAAAGTGTGTTGGCTATCACTTTGATAGTTGATATTTGAGATGAACTTGTCGAAGGAAGTCCATTAAGCTTGTAAGGTGGCTTGCCTCAGGACAGATGATTGTCGTCTCCAGGCTTTTACGTCTTCCGTTCTTCCAGTCAGATCAGCAGTGTTGCGAAGGGCGTCCCTCTTTCTTTTCAGTTCCTCAAGGTGTTTAGACCAAAACACTCGATAGTGTTTAGTCTTGCCTCAGGGAATAGTTTTCTTTGCACATCCGATCATAATATTCGTGATAGTAGTGCAAAGTTTGTCAGGATGTTGGTTGAAGTTGAGGAGACTTGCGTGAAGTTCATTCTCTAAAAGGTTAGTGAATCTAGGCCAGTCAGCCTTCTTGAAGTTCAATGATAGCTTAGTTGGTACTTTCCTTGACATGCTTTTGCTGCCGATGGTAATACTAGCAATGACTGGTTTGTGACCAAAACCAGGATCATCAATTATTTTTCGGCGTGTATGCTCGCTGATGTCGCTTGAAGCCAGGAGTAAGTCAGAAGTTGTTCTGGTTCCATTATAGTGCAAATATGTAGCCAGATCCTCATTGCTGTAAATAAGTACCAGAGGGTTGCTGTTTAGCAAGTCTTCGATTTCCTCTCCAGCTATGTTTGTATTCTTATAGCCCCATCTGGTGGAATGGGCGTTGAAGTCGCCTAGTACTATAATTTTGTGTGAGATGTTCAGAAAATCAAAGTTTGGACTATTCTGGGGGAGGATTATAGACTGCATATATTTTGAAGGGGTTTTAAAATTTCTTGCGTCGAGCCCATACTCTTGATTAGATCGTAGTGTGAGGTGAGGCCTTCTTTTACTTCAGTCAGAATTCCACTTGCAACTTGCCGGTATTTAGGTAGAAGGTACAGGGTGTAATCTAGGAATTGGTAGTACTTCAGTTTGTCATCCGAAATGTTTGCTTCCATAATTGTGAAAATGTCTACATCATAAGTTTGTAGGATTTTCTGTACTTGGATCTTTTTGTCCGGAGACATTCCTTCAGCATTTCACTGGAGGATCTGAAGACGTTGTGATTCGCCCTGACGAGGGCGATTTCTCTTATAGCCTTGTTTCAAGCTAATTATAATAAATCGAAGTCAATTCAAATGCCGAGTGATAGACTTTTTTGCCGTACGAAGATACGTTGTCCAGGGTGCACCACGTGGAGGTAAGTCTATCGCGCACCATTTCACAAACATAGAGGGGTTAATATCATATTTTCTAGAGATACGGGCTTAGACGTGTAGAGATTTATTGAATCAATGGGAATTCCTGACTCAGAAAGACATTGATGCTCATTTTATACATTATTCTACCAACTTAAACTTGACTAATTTCTGATGAGTCAAAAGTACCTATGTTATTCAAGGTATTCTCAAATAATAAATCTAAAAGAGAATCTCTTTTGAATTCAATATCATTGGTAGTCATTACCCTATTGAATCACAGCTATATATTATTGCAATAATTTCATTGGTGCTTTATCTCAATATTATCGAGACAGTTCACAAGGAAAAACATACTTCATGGTTAATTTAATTTGATATCTGTGGTTACAAAAGAGTAATTTTTGAATGCGAAAAGAAATAATTTTATTTTGATTTAATACCTTTAAAAATAACCTAGCATTTGATAAATCAAATGCCTAATTTAAAGAATTTCCAAGTCGGATTCAATGAGCACAAAAAATTATAAATGCATACTTTTATATAATTATTCCAAATTTAAGGCAGCTCAACGATGTCAAGGCAGATATTACCAAGGAAATAAACTTTTGAACTAAGTTGAAACCAGAAAAAGAATGACCGAGTTATTTCTTAAACGCACTGCAATGAAAGCGACGAGTTCGACTCCACAATTCGATCTTTAAGTAAATGTGGCACCACATGTGGAACTATAATTAATCTAATTATTGAGACCACATATTATTTACAACTGCTTAAAGTAAATAATTAGACACTTAGATTGGATTTGTGAAATTAATTGACTGCAAATAGTGCTTTCAATCCACCAACTTCATCAACATGGCGATCTGGAAAAACAGCGGTGTAAAGCACCTTCCAATGCCTACTGTGCTGTATTTAATTAATGAATGTCGCTGCATCTTTAAATCAAGCACCATATTGTTATTGAAGTAAAACTTTGCACTGAATCAACAATTAAAAGAATATTAAGAATTGTAATGCTTGCTGTAAAGTGAAATGGCAGAGAGAGACTAATTTCAACCACATCCAAGCCTACATTGCGACATCTACACTGACATTTAAAGTGGTCTGTTGAAAGAAGGAGCAAGATTACTCGTTAATTGATTCGAAAAACTCATCACACTCTTTCCATTTACTTTAAATCAGTAGAAAATCATGAGGATTAGTCCTTATACTTCATTATTTTCATTTTTTATACAGATGGAAGCAATTTTCTCGCAAAACGGGGTTTGTCGAATAAATGGCGTCAAGACTAATTTGCTTTGTAGCAATAATATGGAGACATTAAGTATTGAATATTATTCAAGTCACTTCTAATTAGCTGCACGTTCATTGTGAATATCATATGGATTTTCGATAACTGCCAATAAGACTTCGGGGAGTTGTGAAGATGTGAGGAAACTCATAAAGTTTTTTTTTATTTGAGCAACCATGAAATCGCATTTGAAGAAAAATCTTTAAGTTTAATCCGTAATTTTAAATTAAGCCTGAATTGATAATAAAACTTGGATAGAAGTTAAAGAATGAAGGAAAACAAACATTACAGGAGTATTTCCAAGTCATTTGCTTTTAAGACAAAAATAAATAATCAATTTTGATATCTAAAGATTAAGTTAGTGTGTTAGATTATACGGACATTTTTAAATTCGGTAATTTTTTCCCACATGAAATTTTGCCTTATTTCCCAATTATAATTTAATGAAATGTACAGCGAAGATAACTTTTCAGCGCACTATCAAAGAGTCTAATTCATTTCGATGAGATACGAAATGGACTTGTGTCATTTGAATTGAGACGAACAGTCTGACGGGTTTTTAGTCATTTTAAGTGCCCAATAGTCAGGACAGCAAAATAAGGAAATCATAAAATTAAATGTATAAATTGAAGAAATATTGGGCAAAACTATTTTTTTCTACTTTCACTAAAAATTCACGCAAAAAAGGTTTGTGTGGGTTGTGTATAAACTTTTTTCGAGAGATGCTATTGAAAGGAGTCATTCATTTTACCGCTGTGTTAACGCCCATTAAATTTTTTTTCAAAATTTCACCGGCTTAAATTACTTGAAGCAAAAAACAAAGATAGACTCGCCATATTTCTCCTTAAATTATTCTAAACCAAAACCCAACATTTAAATGGCAAAAAAAGCGTTTGATTTTTTTTGCTTTCAAAAAGCCCTTGATAAGTGGTTCCGAGGAGAGGATAAAGGAGGCATGGCTTCATATTTCTTACAAGAGGTGTGCGATAGACTTACCTCCAAGTGGTGTATCCTGGGCAGTGTATACTCATAATGCAAAAAAGTCTACAAACCGGCAGTTGACTTCTCACTTCAAACTACCATGGCCCCACTGTATGTCATATTCAACCACTGCCACAGTACTACATCACATTTTTTCTGCCTTTGTGTCTGTCTCTATTACATCTTTGAAACACTCTTCTGTTCCCCCTCTCCACACTTTGTGTGACTTTGATGTTCCCCCCTCCCCTCTGTGAAGCCTGAAGTCAACTATAAAGGCCTAATAATAACTACTAAAACGCCTGCCATTTGATATAAATAAATAAATATTTT